TAGCGAGCGCGCCAGGTGGCCTCGCTGCTTGAGCTCTTGCGTGGGGCCGGCCGCTGCTGGTGCGGCGTTGGGGCAGAGCTAAAACGTGAACGCGGTCTGGTCGTAAAGACGTGGAAAGATGCGTGTTCAGCAGCACGCTTTGTTAGAAGCGGCTTGGGACCCGAGCCGTCAGTCCGATAAACCTGACCGACGTAGCTGCCTCGGGGTTTCCACAGCAACCTCTTCTGGTTTTCCTGGTGTTTATTCCCTTTAATCTGCCAGTGTTATTGTCATATTGACATGTTTAGTGTTGGGTTTCATGGAGACTGTGCCTTATTGATTCCACAAGGAAACAATCACACAGCAGCTTACATGGCCTGCAGGGTGTGAGAGCTTTTGCCCACAAGAACCATGGTCTGCCATTTGTGCTAGGCTTCTTTTTTCTGGCGGGTCAGTTGGAAGATGACCTTTTCTGTTAAGTTATGTGGGGAAACCGAGAGCTCCAAAAAGCCAAGGTGAGGCTACTGTGCTTTAACAAAAAGAAATTAGAGTCTTGAGGGATGTCATGTGAAATCGTGCCCATGCTGAAATGGGATGGAAAAATCTCCCCTTTTGCCAAAATGAGTTAAATCCTGAACCCGAAGCAGGGCGAAAAAGTACAGCATGAGACTGTGAAAAATAAAGGGGATTGGTGGAAGAGGGGAAGAAGGAGAAATTTTTACTCTTCCCCCGCCCCCTTAATTGTTGTTAATTATATTGACGCAGTATACTTCATAAAGTCAAACCTCATCAGTAACGTATTGAGTTTGACTCCTTTGTGGATGTTTAAACACTAGTTTTTCCAGCACGCAGCAGTTTGTTCCTCTGTATTTTCCTTTGCCTCAGTGTAATTGCCTGGTGATAACTTGCTGGGATAGAACGAGGAAAACAGACTGTTGAGGAAGGCGAGTTAGTTGTAACACTAGAGCTGTCAAATCCTGTACAACACAGGAAGAAACGCTTGTTTTGTTATGTCTCACTCGAGTTGCACTGTTGTGTTTCTTTGAGAAGTCATTTTTAGTTACACAAAGCAGTGTTTGAAAGGAGAATTAATTTCTTAGTGGACTTATAAAGCTGAAGAAAGCAAAGTCACTGTGCAGGATCTTATTTAGGTACAGAGCATATCCGCATTATGAAGAAATTGATGTTTTTTTCCCTAAGGCAATACAGGAAGCAGCTTAAGTCACATCCATGCAATGCAAGCTGTTGAATAAAACAGTACAAAACTTACAATACTTTTCTTTACAATTTGCCTGAAGTAGGATTTAACCTCACCAAGCAAATGTAGGGTGGTTCAGTCTTGGCTTATTTTTTTTCTTGCTTAAAGTATAGATAATGTTGTCTAGTACCAGACAGAGCAGAAGTGTTAGTGAGCCTTGCTAACGAAGTATCTTTTAAAGTAACTGCACAAGGCAGAGTAAATCTTAATTGCGTGTGGGTCATGGTGTTCATTAAGTTCTGAAGTCCTTAATTGTAGCAGAACTCTGCAGTGCAGAAAGCGGACATTCTGAGTGATTCTTTTCAATTGATAGTTACCTCCTTGCGTTAAGCAGTGAAAAATGAACAGAATGGGAAATTTGCCAGTAACGAGCCACCCTTGATTTCCTTGTCTGGCCTCAAAGAAAAGCAGAAAGGAAACACGGGGTGTGACTTAAAACTCTTTAATGCTGTCCAGCATTATAGGGCAAAGAACGTTCAACAACATTGTCCACTGCCCTTTTTGAAAGGATGTGCAAAGTCACCTGAGAAACATGAACAAACGCATCTTTAGAACACAGACTGTTAGCTTTTCCGAAAGTAACTTGGGAGTGGTACTATCTGGTCCTGGTACCTGATATGTTGCTATGTGGAGAGGATGAGTTTTCTGGGTGACTTCGTTGTCTGTCATTTCTGTAAGGTGAGATGGTTGAGCATTACTAGTTGGAAGAACAGTCTGTTTCAAAGCAAGCTTTTTTTCTCATAAGAAATACGTAGAAGCTGTCACTGAAAGTATTGTGCAGGTATGGATTCACATGGGCTTTCTGTGTAGGATTCTGCGCTCCTGTTCCCTGGCTGATGTTTTTATCTGCTCCTTTATGCATTTTGCTTGTTGCGAATGGATCTGGGAAAAGACCTTTTGCAAACGTTACCTTTTCTAATACTTTTCTCACATGTGTTGTGTCTTCCTATTTTGAGGTGTGCCAATGACCCCACTTACAAAGCAGGGTACTGCTTATTACTACTGGTTTTGACAGAGTGGGTTCATTGGACCCACGTCACTGATACTCCCCTAGCGTCCTTGCTAGTTTTTATCTATCTTTTTCTTAGGAGGGGAAAAAAAGGAAGTGACTTTTAATTTGTTCCGTTGCATTCAGTCATTTACTTTCCTACCTGAAGTTCTCTCCTCTCCACAGCATGACTTCTCTCTCACCCTCTCCTTTGCCTTGTTAGTTCGACTGACTGGGCCAAGTTTGTGCAAGGTTGAGGAACCACTTGAAACTTTGTGGAAGCGTTGTATGTCTTTCCACCTGATAGTTGCTTTAAATAATTAATTGTTTTTCAATTCGTACCTTGCTGATAATGAGGCAATTGTTGGATGATCTAGTATCAATTTAGAGAACAGGCCGGTTGAGTAGAAAAGATTGATGGTGGTGGTAAAAGGGCATTTCTGATGTCCTGCTCTGTTTGGTCCAAAGCTTCCAAATAAGAACCAGGAGCATGCAATGGGTTTACCTGTAAAAACTTTGGGGGCACAGGCGCCTCTGGAGCTGGCGTATATTTTGCTTGAGTTTATGGGGGGATCTTGCTGTGGACACCCATAATCTCAGGGAAGAGGGGAGACAAGGGCAGCTTGACCTCAGTTCAAGGTCTGAACAGAGTACTCAAGAGAGCAGAGAGCTGAACTTAGGCAAGAGAAGCAACAGGTACTCTGGAAAAAAAAAATCTGTATCTAGTTACTTAAAAGTGAGAGTTATACTTGCTTTTGATTGAAAACTGCCCTCTATTTGTTTGCTTGTAAACCTGTGAAGTACGGGTGACGTTTTATTGTTTTATTGGGACTCTTCTAGGTAAACTCCTGCAGGAATTTCTAGGCTTTGTTTGTTAGAAAAGTGGATGTAGCAGTTGATGTCATCTTATCTAGCTGGCTGGCTTTCAAGGATCTCTCCTGTAAACGCTGATGTCCACAAGTTGTGGAGGGAGGAGTGTGTGATTTTTTTTTTTTTTTGGATGTAGTATTAGGTTTTTTTCTTCTTTATCAACATTTTTTTTTCCTTAAACAGATGCTTGCATGTTGTGCCTGTCTTGGGAAAGGTTGGCATAGTTTCTCATTCGTTGTTAATTGTGGCAAGTGAGGTTGTGCTTTTCAACAGAGAAACACAGTGACTTCTGATCTCTCTTCTCTGCCTTAGTTCTATTCAGCTAGCATCAGAAATTGGGAATGGATGTTTATATTCCTCTCCGGTTTCTGATGGTGTCAAAGGACAGAGTATTTGGAGTTTTTACTCGGTTTTGGGGTGAGTTTATCCTCTGCCAGGTTTTCAAGAAGTCAAGTGCTTTGCTCCCAAAAAATCTGTAGAAAAATAGGGCTTTTCACCAAGGTGCATTTAATCTGCCGGACATGAGGTATAGATCAAGGCATCCGAGCAAGCATAAACCACCTTTTTTTTGTAAATTCAACTGGTCCTTCACTGGTGATTCTTTCTGTCTCTTAAGGTTGTTCATTGCTGTTGATTGCTTGTGTGTGTTTGATGGTTGACTACAGAGAAAATGGTAATGTGCCCCTTTCAAAAGAGGGGAAGAAGTTTTAATAGAAAAAAATCTGACGGGCTTCGTTGTTTTGTTCTTCTCCCATTTCATTTACTGGTTACTGGGAACAAGTTCAGTAACCTTCATCATACTCTAGGAAAGCTAGAAAATAGTCCTTTGGTTAAGCCAAGTGTGAGAAGAGTCCAGAGTACAGGGTCAACTAATTGTGAGCAGTAGCCTAGTGAGTACTAACTGGACAGTGTTCTTGATCTTACAAGGCGAGGTACAAGAAGAACAAGGAGATGATGCTATATAACGTTGTTGTAGGACTACCTGTTGCAGGCTGTTAGAATCCAGCCTTTTGACTGGACCTAAATGAGACTAGATTACACACTGTAAAATTATGCCCTTGACAATTGCACTGGGTATGGGAAGATACAGGGAGCCTGATCTGGTGTGTAACATGTCAACTGATAAAGCTCTTCCTTTTGCTGCCTTCCCTCCCTCCATTCGTCCTCCCCTCAGTTGTGCAAATAGCCAGATTCATTGTTGATCCCGAGATAAACAGCCTAAAAACAGGGGACCTTTTCGTTGCGGCAAAATTTTGAATGTCAAGATGTGCTTGGTTGATTTATTGCTTGGAAACTGAAACCCTGCAGAGCCTGCTGGTATGGTATCCGCAAAGCCAACTCTTTCTTTTGTGACTCAAAGTACTTATCTGTCATTGAAAATATCCTAGCCTTGTCATAAGAAGCTTCCCCCTCCCCTCCCTCCCCCCCCAATCTGTGCCTGCCTGCCTCTGGTCGAGGGACAGGATATAGGGCCAGATACTGCTCTTTGCAGTTGACAGCAACTCCTTCCCCATTCCCAGTGTAACTTCATCCGTGTTCTCCTTTCTAGATCCCAAGAGGGCTCGGGGATAGATTTATGCTAGAAGCAAGTCATCTCATTTCCCCTCAGGTAGACTTATTTTTAGCTCCTTCTGCTGTCACATTTTTTTCGTTTTAGCTATGTCAGCTGAGGAAAAGCTACAAGGAGAGGCAGCTCTGCAAGGCTGGATTTAGTAGTGGAAGTGTTGTGGTGGAGTGGATGGTCATAATTTCAGGATTTCAAGGTCTCAGTGTGAAAGCAGAACAGCGGAGAGTCTTGGCCCTTGGGTTTATAAGTCTGCTTCCACAGGCTTGTTGGTATGGCTGGGGAAGAACTATATTTTCCTCTTTTCATTTTGCCGATGCACTAGCTATCCTTACTTGCAGGAGAACTACCATTCTCTAAGTTTTTTTCTTTTTTTTTCTTTTTTTTTCTTTTTTTTTTTTTTTTTTTTACAATTTTAAATGAATTCTTCAGCATTTTCAGGTGTTTCTCATACTCTGTGCATGCTGTCTCATTCTTCCTTGTGTGTGGTCCCAAAAAGGGGAAAGGAAGATGCAGAAACTGGGGCAGAAGTGTCATGTTTTGCAAAAAAAGAATAATGGAGGGACAATAATGTTCCTGAATTCTAGTCCTGGATGAATGCTGCTTCCTTCCTTCCCTCGTCGTAGTCTGTTTTCTTCTGTAGCTTCGTTGTTTCTTCATGGCTTCTTTCAGCTCGGTGAATTAAAAAAACCAAAAAAGTCCTAGTCTCATTCAGGTCTAGTTTGCCTGCATATCCTCGTGTTTCCAAATCGCAGTGAATGTGAGAATATAACACGTGTAGTAACTTTATAAGAGCATGTTTGTAGTCAAAGTACACCAGCATCTGAAGTTCTGGATTCTGGAAGAGAGAGATCTGAGGAAACCATCGGTGGGCAGATGAAGGGCAGTTTGCTTCACAGCCATGTATCATTTGCAATCCTGATCCTCAAGGGAGTGGCTTTAGCTTTTAGTCTGGGTTTTTTTCTTAGTCGTTTAAATGTTAGCAGCTGGTATTTCATATTTCCTTTTTTGGATTTTGAGTTACTTGCCTCTCAAAGTGGGGCAAAGACTTAAAGGTACAGAATTACTTCTCAAGCAAAAACTACCTTCCTCTTGTACCCTCTTTCCCCCCTTTGTTTTCTTCCTATCTTGAGACATACACAGTTTAATACTACTTTGTACGTGCCATTTATTCTAAGTTGGCTGAGTAATGCGGTGTTTTGAAGTTAGTTGGCCAGTGCTTCCCTCGGTTCAGTGAGACTGTGATGTATTAGGAAGAACAGGGCAACTGAGACAACTTGCTGCTTACAATTATATACTTGAGTCTTTGGGCTGATATATCCAGAGGAGACATTAAAGAAAAATAAGATTGATGAATCATCTTAAAAATTGGAGTCTAGATGACAGGGGTGGAGCACCTCCAGTAAGTGACTGTCTTGAAGTATAGTTCTTCTAGGCAAAGATGCTCACCAGTAAATTAGGGATTATTGTGCAAGCATGCTTGGTAGCTGCAAAGTGTTTGAAAGTTAGTGGTGAATATTACAGAATTTTTCCTCTCTGGCTCAGTGTCCTACTTACTATGTGGTGTTGAGGCCCTCCATGGAAACAAAACCAATGCTTTGTGTTTTCATCCAATCTTTTCAGCCATTCTTCCTGCAAGTTACTTCACATCCTTCCTGTTCATTCATTCTTCTCTTAATCCACTCTAATTCTTCAGTACTCTTTTTAGGACATGGGATTAGCGGTGTTGTGTGTAGTGTCCAAATAGCGGTGAACTGCTGATTCACACAATGAATCTCTACAGATTTTACTGCTGAAGCACTGGCTTGCCATGGGACAGTTTGATCTGTTGTTTTCAGATGCTCGAAACGGAACATGAAGCGTGTAGCTTTGCAACTGGTACATATTTGGTACATATTCTGGAAGAAGGCATTTTTGGAAGTCCGTGTTGGTTGGGCCCCCCCCCCCCCCCGAAATAAGTGTTGATGGTGTGCTGCACAGTGTTTCAATCACTGAAGTACTTTGATGTCAGTTTGTGTCTCCATATAATAATAAGGTAGTTGAAGCTGTAGTGAAAATTCCTGTGGAAAGGGTCCTTGTTTAGAGTTCTATCATAAGTGGTGTTCCTGGTGGATAACCTTTGACAGCAGGGGACCGTCTCAAGCCTTGGTGTTGATCTCTGAATGTCCTCAAGAAATGGACTGGAATCCTTCATTTCATTTCTGTCTGAACTAGGGCTAGTTGGCTGTAATCACAGCAGCTGACTGTGGTGCTGAGTTGTGCACTCTCATTAGTGGCCTTAACAGAGCATTGGGATTTATAGAGCCACGGAGACCAGGCTGCCGGCTATCCTCCCGTTCCTGCCAGCGCCAGACCTGCTCTGTGCTGAATACAGAAGACGCTGCGCTCAGGCTGTCAGACTGACTCTTTTCAGCAGAATGCCGAAATGCTCAGCTTTGAGGTGGTCTTTTCAGAATGCCCCCTGCCACTCCCCCACCCTATTTTAAGTATACTTATAGGTCCTGTTCTTATCTCTGGGAGTGACTTGTGCATTTTGTTCCTTGACTTCCTCTCTGCCTCTGCTGCTCCATATTAAATGAGATTCCCGATGGCTCAAGATGAGTGGTGAGACATGGCATGGCATAGGATGCAAAGTGCTTTGAAGCTCACTGAAGAGAGTTGCGGCAGTGTTAAAATGCTGTTAAGAAATTCCTTAGCTTGTTGGAAAGGTTTTGGGCAGTCCATTTGCCTCTCTGACTGAAAAGAAAATGATTTACTCTTCTCTTGAAGTAGTTTTATGTTGACTGTGATCACTGAGTGCTACAGGGCTCCTGCTGGACAAAGGCAGATGAGTAGCTGGTCCTGCTGAAAACCCATGACTTCTTTGTAGAGGGCTGAGAAGGCTGCTGCTTTAGTCTCTGAAACTGCCTGGGATACCTTGACCACTGGGGACTAATGAAGTTCTCTTTCCATAGAGTTCGGTGCAGATCACGTTTGAAGAGGGTCCTCAGTTACCACCGGCAGCAAATATAAGTCACGTGACGTGCAAGGGCCAGTCAGACCACAGCATGGTAAGGCTTTGTCATTCTGTTGTACCGTGTGAGGTTTCGTTGTTAACCAACAGTGCGTTCTACAGAGATTGCCAGGGCCTGTGTGATGGGGATGACGGACCTCGGGGAAGTTTCAGCGCAGACTGTGGCTCAGTTCAGAGGCCTGTCAACAGACCTGTGAGGCTAGGGATCTGCAATAGTGTTGGGCTGTGAATGAGTGAGCTCTGGGAAAGCACAGCGGGGGAACGTGCTCATGGAGCTGATGAGTATGGTGCTGGGCCTGAATGTCAGGGTCCTGCAGTGGAGAGGAGAAAGGATCTTCCTTCACTGATGCATCTTTACTGGGTCACTTACGGAGTTTGGAAACGGCACATTCTCGGTGGAGAATGGGCTGGGCCGTAAGCCTGGCATTCCTTTCCTGCCAGTGATTCAGCCTTGCCTGTTACTCTTACAGGCTTTGCCATCACGCGTCCGCTTCTCGCTGAGGTATAAACCCCTCTCCTCTTTTCTCTTTAGGTGCTACACTGCAATCTGTCAGCTGAAGCTGTGAAATTCCCTGTCTCTGTTACTCAGCAATCCCCAGCTGCTGTTTCTGTGGATACCTATCATGTCACCTTGGCTCTGCTGCAGGCTCAGGTAACAGCTGTAAAATGTTTGTCGCTAAACTTATTCTTTCACCTGGTCCTATGCCGCCTGAGGGAGGACGATTGGACTTAGTGCTAATAAAGGCCCCATTGTACCAGAATGAGAATTGTTCTGTCACTAATGTTTGGCAGGGTGGCAAATATTCCTGATCTGTGTGCTGAGTCCTGTTTTCTGAGCGTTGTCCTGCAGATCTTGCCTGCATAAAATAGGCACAACAAAATCCAGAACTGGAGAGATTTGAGGCATAGCAACGTTCTATACCGCGTTTTTAAGCAGCTCTTTAAGAAGCAGA